CCAGCTCAAACATTCACAATCCTATGTTAAGTAAAAGAAGTCAATCCCAAAAGATGCACACTATATTGAGTCTACGTATATGAACTATTCCAATAGGCCAGTGATGGGGAACCATCTGGAGCTTTCGGTGATAACAAACAGCCTGCTGTGGCATGCATGCTGTAGATTCACCACCACTGACATAGGGAAACCCATAGAAACAGAAAATAGATTAGTGGTTGCCTTTGCCTGGGGCTGAGGTGGATGGGAAGGTGAGGAGGTTGGTCAGAGATAGCTAAAAGGTAAAGGGGTGGTGAAAATTCTAAAATCAGTGCGGTGACAGTTGTACAACTCTGTGAACATTCTAAAAAATACTAACATATACCCTTAAATGGGTGAATTTCAGAACTTTCTTTGCTTTGGCCACTATGCTCCAGAGAGATCATGGTGACTACATAGTAGTTATGTTTATATTCCTCATTCTCAGACAGGAGGAGATGGGATGGTAACATAAATGTTATGGAGAAAATATTCCTCTTATGCTTTCAAGTTATTGTCAAAACTGATTCCTAGCTCATCCAGACCTTACCCGAAGGAGTTTCCGTAGTGAAAGTACACTTAATCATCACCTTAAAATAAGTTATAGGAAAACGCTCATTCTCTCTCACTCAGTCTACCCCCACCTTGCCTGGATTTACATTCCAGTTGAAAAGACTGCTCAGAAAGGATCAGTTTCCAATTTAGCTACCATAGTGACCAATGGTAGCTAAATTGGAAACTGGCTAATCTCCTGATTTGGAGATCAGGTTCTACTCTTAAAAACAAAGGGGCTTTCCAGAAATATATTAGCTCAGTTTATAAGCAGAGGCCGATACATAGTAACTGAGGAAATGTAGGTGATAGCAAAATGTTATAATACCAAGGCTATCCTTCCCCTTGGGGGAGCAATTACACAAGTCATAGAAAAATATTTTTTATTTTAGAATAGATTGGAAGAAAGTCCTTGCCAAAAGCCAGTTGTTTAAATTTTCAATTTGTATTTTAAGCAGGATTATACATGCCCAAGAACATCATGCTATTTTTAGCTAATATGTAAGATTGCTGTGTCCACAACAGTTTGGAGCAATCAAGAGTGAAACTATTAGACAGCATCTTCCAGTGTGGTATCTTATCATTTAGCATGTTTTTATTTTAATATTTTCTAAAGTTGCACCATGAAAATACATGTAAAGTGCCTACTCTAGGTACAATACAAAGTTCAAATAGAAAGGCACTATGCTTCATGATGGGTTTAATACACAACTGAAGCAGATATATGAAAGAAACCTCAAGGTTAGAGCATTCCGGGGCTGGGGATTTAGCTCAGCGGCAAAAGCGCCAGCCTGGCAAGCGCAAGGTCATAAGTTCGGTTCCCGGTACCGGAGAAAAACCAAAAACCAAAAAAAAAAAAAAAAAAAAAAAGGTTAGAGCATTCCCAAGTTGCCATCCTGTCCCTAAGTGTCTAGGGGAGATACATGAAGAAGCAAATGGCCTTCACTTATCACCCTTCCAATGCTTGTACTCTCTGTATGTATTAAATGGAGAGAAGTAATGAAAATGTTTAAAATTACAGTGATAAACCAGGAGTCATGGTGCATGCCTGTAATCCCAGCACTCAGGAGGCTGAGGCAGGAAGATCACCTCAAGTTCCAAGCCAGCCTGAACTACATATGGAGACCCTGTCTTAAAAAAAAAAAATTGTAGTGATAGAGGCACACCTTTGTATTACTAAATTGTAGTCTTAAATGGGGGAGTAGTATAGTATATGACAATACCTCGTTACAGTTGTTTAAAAAGGGTGGGAAATGCTCTTACTTGGATTGTCCTTATTAGTCAAAGCTGTTTTAAGCCCTCATGCTACAAGCTATCCAGCTAAAAAGTGCACTGGTTTGGCAATGATGCCTCATGGCATAGTTCCTTCTCTTCCACATCTTTCCTTCATTCCTTCCTTAATCTATCTTTCTGTTATTCCGCTAATCTCTTTTCCTGTAGGTTTACTCTAAATTAGGCCATAGGTCTCTCAGTTGTTAGAACAACCACGCTGTGTCCCAACTGGTGGACCTCAGGATTGAGTGGCTTGCTGACCCTCAGCAACTTTCCCCCCATGGCCTTAGGCAAGGCATGTCCTGACTCCCCGGTGGGTATTCCAATCTGCAGTCAGTGGGTGGACTACATGATCCTTTCCAGGTCTCACATTCTCTGTGAAAAAATCCAAGTAATGAACACTTAATTGGCCAATAACATGCAAAGTGGCTGCCATTTTTGCAAAAACACATATTTGTTTTATTCATTTTATAAATACCCACCATGAGGCAATGCTCCAAAGAACTATATTTAATGTATTTATAAAATGATCAAGATGGAGTTCTTCTTTTTAAAAACCAGTGCTTTACCAAAGAAAATTCAGAGCCTAATGTGGAATTCTTCATAGTCTCTCTAGATATGTCTCTAAGGGCTCATTTTCAAATTAAAAAAAGAAAAGCTTTTGCATGTTGGGGCCCTGAAGTATTTAGTAGACCGAAGAAAGAAGTAAGATTGGGGTGTCACTACCTTACCAACGTGATTCAACTAAATCCTAAGAGAAGACAGACCTTGTGTAGCAAGTGGTACAAAGACTGACACAACACTATGCTCCAAGAGCGATACATATGGCAGGAATCCCTGTAACCCGCGACTCTGAGCTTTTTATGCAAACTAGTTGCATTCCCCCAACAAAAGTCATAGGATTATGTAGCCACCAGTTTCCAACACAGCACTACCAGACAAACCCAGAGTACTGTTTTCATGCGCCCAGCATCAGAGCAAAACCGAAAGAAACACCAATTTCTCCTACATACACACACACACACACACACACACACACACACAAATACATGCAAGAGAAACCATTTCCTCTGCAGAACCGCCGTTGTCTTGGTTGTGTGTATGCAATGGATAAATATCAGTTGCTAATAAATATCTGACAGCCCTCTACTGATAAGTAAACAGCACAAGCAGAAATCATAAAAACAATAACCCTAAGGTGTGTTCCTTGTCAGTAATCCCAACGCCAAACATGGAGAGAAATGACTCAAAGTGTCCACTTGCATCCTTCTTTCCCATTACCTCAGACCAGCAAACTCTCCTGTTAGTTACCTCCCTACACTTCTGTCCTCCATCAAAGAAGTCTCAAGCCAAAGGGGGCAGGCCCTCTCTCCTTTCTCTCCGCGCTCTGGGGACCCAGAAGGAGCACAGGGGAGGGGGCGGAAAGGACAAAAGTGGGTGCTTTCAAGTCCTCTGCCCTGCTCCTCTCGGAATTAGAGCACCTGCCAGGGGCAGGTCCCTTCCTCCACCTTAGTAACTGACCCACAAGTCCTAGGTGTGCAAGGAGCACAGGCGCAGCTGCCCTAAAGGACAAAGGCCAAGCTTACAAAGGGGAGTAAAGAAGAACAAAAGGGAAAAGGCAGAATACCCAGCCAAGGCGGGTGTTCCTCGAGGTTAGGTGGAGACATGGGGAGGGGTGGAGGGGGCAGAAAAGTCTCCCAGTTCCCCTGGGAAAGGGATCTGGGAGCTGCCGAGGGCGCAGCAGCCGGGAAGAAGGTGGATGGGCCCAGGACTGAGGCTCTGTGGCTCAAAGGGGGCGCAATTTGTGGGTGGGAAGCAGTGGCAAAGCGATCAAGGCCAGACAGGGCCCAGTGGACGGAACAGCCTGGTGCAGCGATGCGTGGAGCTCGTTCTGGGTCCCCAGAGCGCGGAGGGAAAGAAGAGAGGGCCTGCCACCTTTATCTTGAGACTTCTCTGATAGAGCACAGAAGTGTAGGGAGGTAACTAACAGGAGAGCTTGCTGGTCTGAGGTAATGGGAAAGTAGGATGCAAGTGACCCAGATCACAAGGGGCTGAGGACAAGCGGCGAAAGCTTTCAGGGGAGACGGCAGAGTGGGAGCAACGCACAGTGTTGGAAGGAGTCTGAGAACGCAGCCTTAGAGAAAGGCTAGGGGGACTGTAAGGGGGCCTGACCCCGTCCGCCACCTCACCTGGCGCCGAGTCGGAGTCCGGATCTAGTGCAGAGAAAGCGCCAGCTCCGGCCAGTCCCTCCGTCCCGCGCGGGAGACCACGGACACAAAGCGGGGCGCGCAGGAGGAGGGGAGGCGGGGAGGAGGGAACAGACGGGGGAGGGGAGTGGAGAGTAGGGAGGGGGAGGAGACGCCTGAGGCGCGCGAGGGGGGAGAAAGGAGGGGCTCCCACCGCCCTCCGCCTGTGTCAGGGGGCGGGGTGAGCGGCAGGAGGCCGCGCTCCGCTGGCCATTGGTCACTCCGTCGGCCTGCAGGCAGCCGCGCGCTTTCCCGCAGCTCACCTCGGCACCTGGCCTTTGGCTGGTGGCAGCCAATCAAACGCCTTCATTTGCATAGCCGGGCCCCGCCCATTTGCCCCGGCCAAGGACTGCTAGCTGAGAACACAAAGAAGGCCACCAGGAGGAGAGGGCTGACTCCCGCTCGCCTACTCCAAAGGCACAGTATCACCTTTCCATGCGTTTAAGGGTCTTTCATAGTCATGCTGATCAGGGGAACAGAGTGAGAAACAGGTTTGGCCCAACATCTCTTAAGAAGTCGAATGTCTTCGCCCCTGATATCCTTCTAACTGAGAAATCCTCCTCCTGTTCTAGGGCACAGAGTTCCCGGTCTTGCCTCCCAGCCCTCGGTCTTCCCTCCCCTTTTTCCAGTCACCCTCATCTCGGGGCTTCTTCCCGTGTAGGCTGCTGCCCACTACTGGCCTTCTGCTGCACTGCAACCCTCATCAGCAAGCTCTGAGCACAGCCTTCTTAAGTGCTCCCAAGCCACCAAACCAACCCCTACTCAGCAGCAAAAGGAAAGATGAAGAGGTTGCTGCAGTAGAGTAGCAGGGAGCTGGTCATGTGGTTTGTTACCTATGATGGGGAAAAGCCAGTTCTCAATACAAACCTAATTCCCCCCACCCTCATTTCTTCCCACCTTCCTTTCACCTACCTTCAGGTCTGTACTGGGCCACAATGGTGACTGACTGGCCAGCCCGTTTCAGAGCAGCTGCAGCCTGCTCATGAGTTGCATTCCTCAGGTTCACCCCATTCACCTGTCCAGAGAGAGAAGCTATGAGCCACCCCCAAAGCAAGAAAGGGAGTCCTCTGTCCTAACCAGAGAGGGAGATGGGTAGCCCATCTCTCAGCCTTTTAATGTTTTTCCCAAAATTCCATCCTTGCCCCCCAAATGAGACCTAAATGATATGACACCTTTAATGTAATAATTATCTTTGTGGAAGTCAAATGCCAATCAGGGTTAATACCCAAGAAACAGCTGGGTGTGGCAGCATGGGCCTGTAATCCCAGCACTTGGGAAGCTGAGGCAGGAGGATCACAAATTCAAATCGTTCCTGGGCACTCTCTCAAAATTAAAAAAAAAAAAAATTTAAAGGATGAGAATGGAACCCAGTGGTACAGCATCCCTGGGTTCTATCCCTTGTACTTCCCCCTAAAAATTCAAGGGACATTCATTTCCTCCCCAAGGATGTCTAGTTTCCTGTCTCTCACTGAGGATATCTATAAAGACAATATATGTTTTCTCCAGTTCTTAGCTCTTTCCTCATCAGACGAAGCATTCCTTGGAGGAAGCAAGGTCTTCCCTCCTCCCTCTTAGACTGGCACAGCTCTCGTCCTCCCACCTCGCTTTTGTCTCACCGATAAGATCCGGTCTCCCCTGCGCAGCTCCCCACTCAGGTCGGCTGGGCCTCCTGCCAGGATGAAGGAGACAAAAATGCCTTCTCCATCCTCTCCTCCTACGATGTTGAAGCCCAGGCCTGTGGAGCCTTTGTGCAGGATGATCTTGCGAGGCTCTCTGATGGAAAATGAGTGGAGATATGACAAGGGAAGTCAGGACATAGGGATATAGGAACTATTGCCCCTGTGAGGTCCAGCCTGGAACAAAGACCCACACTTGCTGTAGGGAGTAAGGACTTGCGTTCCCTGCGTGTGATAGCCGGTTCCTCCTTCCTTCTCCTGAAACCTGCTTGGCTGCTGTTTTCTGTCAGGTGCCAAGTTTCAGTTCCTCTTCCCTCCTTCTTCCTGAGGCCTCCTAGCCAACTTCCCAACGGCCAGCCCACTACTCTAAGTCAACACACCCCTGTTCCGCACTCTAGAGCCCAAATCCCAGAGCCCACTCACTGATCCTCTTCCTTCCCGTCTCCTGACCTATCAGTGAGTGTGGTAGGTCCTGAACCACAAGAGGAACCTGCCAGGGTTAGTGGGATCACCCTGGGTTGGTTGCACAAGATACGTATTTTTCACCTGCTCCTCTGCAGTCTCAAAATTCCACCCACCACCTATGACCCTTCCTACCTTCCCCAACAACATGTGTAGTCAACAGCTCCCATTAGGTACGCCCCTGCTAGGTGAGGTGGGGGACAGAGACGGAGGAGATAAAAATCCCCCGTCTCTAAAAGGTGCTTGCGGCCAAACCCAAGAGAGGAGACAAGCATATGAAAACTCCAACTAAAACCAACCGCATCTGAGGACCCCCCCCCTCTAAATAGTCACAGAATCACCAAGCGAGAGCGAGCAGCCCCACATCCATACAACCACACTCCCAGCACGCTCTCCCACCGAGACTCCTCCCCTTTTACTCCCAGTCTCAGGTGCAAGGGAGCTCCCTCACTAGTCCTGGATGCTGTGGTGCCTCCACTCCTACCTGGCATCCCCTCTGGGCCGCAAGGAACGCAGAGGCCAGGCCCACCTCTGCGAAGCCCTCCTCCAGGCCGAGCCCGAGCCCGAGCCCGAGCCCAGGGCCAAGCCAGAACCCGAGGGCTTGCGAACCCTCTCCATGGCTCCTCTGGCTCTAACCCATCGCCTGCCCTTCCGGCCCCACCCGGCAAACCTGTCCCCCGAATCCTGGCCGGCCCAACCAGTTCCACTGACAGGCGCCGCTGCCACAGCGGGGCGGGGCCGTTCCCTGCGAGGCCACTCGGCTGGCTGGCCTGTCAGAGTCCTGCCAAGGCCAGCGGCTGAACTCCTTTCTTCAATAATTTGGAATGGCTGTAGCAGAGGGGCTGCAACTCAGCCAGGGCAGGGAACTCTGAGGCGCAGCCCCAAGGGCTGAGAGTGCCCCCCTTCGCCCCCTAGACCTCACAGCGGGGAGTGATGAAGGCCTCATCCTCTTCTTGGCCTTTCTACAACGTTTGTCACCGTCCAAAATTGGATTCCTCTCCTCCCTCCTCCCTCGGTTGGATGAATGGGGCAAGGGTCTTACCTGGTGAAGTCCTCCTCGGCCAGCATGTGCCTGGGGATAGGAGAGTATCGGGTGGGGGGGACCTGAGGAGGAGCAGGGTAGCTGACCTTGCTCTCCACCGCCCCGAGATAACCCAGGCTGGAATTATGGCTTATGTGGTTGTCAGCCAAGGCAGTAAAAGCTGGGATCAAGAAAGGGAGAGGAAAGTTCAGCGATGGTCCAGGAAGGTATCCCTGGCAGGGGAGCTCAGCCCCCTCCAAGGGCCGTCCCACCCACACTACACCTCAGGCACAAAAGAGACTGAGGCGAGGGTGCCGGTTCCTCACCACCCTTCCCCACTCTGTACACCCTCCTCTCCTCTTCTGCAGTCCCTTTCTGAATCCTAGGCTCACTCCTGTGACTCTTAGAAAGAGCTGAAGTCAAGGCGGTCCACAAAGAAAGGTGTGACTAGAGGTGTGACTAATAATAATCCCTCACATCTCTGTAGCCTAATACAGTTTTCCCAGAGCTTTCTTGTCCATGATCTCATTTGATCCTTGCACCAGTCCTATGAGGAAGGCAGCACATTAGCTCCTTTTTGCCAAAGAGGAAACTAAAGGCAAGTAAAATGGACTTGTCCAAGGTCATTCGGCTCCGAAGGACACAGCTGGGTCTGGACCTGGTTCTTCTGAGCACTAACCTGCACTTGCTTTCTCTTAACAAGGTCACATCTCCCCAAACCAGAGACAGGGCTACAGGCCAGGGCCAGGGCCAGGGGTCACTGGGTACGTACTGCTGGCGTAGTCTGGGGGAGCGTACATGTCGTTGAGATGGAGGCTGCCTGGCTTGGCCACCTTCAGATAGACCATATCAGACGTGTTCTTCAGTGAGGCCACGGCTTCCTCGTGCCTCACATCCTGCAGATTTGTGTTGTTCACCTAGAAGAGGAGAGGCCTCAGGCTGGGATTCGGGAGGAGGGGAGGCTTCGCCTGGAACCCCTCAGGGGTGCCCTTTCAGTGAAAGTCAACCGTGTGCTAAGAGAGGTCCAAGTCCAGTGTTGTGAGGACACAGGACAGCCAGAAAGTAGGGGCAGGCCAGGAGGGAGCCCCTGCTACTACAAAATTAGAGTTTGGGAATCTGGATAAACACGACTCAGATGATGTTCCTGAAATTGCCCAAGATACCTTGTCCCTCAGTGAGATTTAGGGAGAGTGAGAGAGAGTGCTGGAGCTCCTCCTATCCACCCTACCGTTTGGGCATCCCTATAAAGGGAGTCTCACCGCCAGCAACCGGTCCCCAATCTGTAGGCGTCCATCCTTCTGAGCAGCTCCCCCTTCAATGATCTTCGTGATGTAGATGCTATTGTCTCCTGGGATGTGCTGGTTGCCAATGCCTCCAGCAATGCTGAAACCCAGGCCTGGGGCACAGCCAGCAGAGAGTGGGAGAGGGCCACAAGAAGAAGTCAGAGTGTTTGGTCGGTCTCAAAGCCAACTCCCCTCCCCAAGCCAACCCACTGGTCCCCCAGGAGCTTCCCCCAGAAATCCCAGACGCTAGGATGCCACTCCAAGGTCAGTAAGGGTGAGGCTTCAAGTCAGGAAAGGCTATATGAGCTGGAACTGGGGGAGTCATGCTAAGAATAAGACCATTGCCAATGGGGCTCTGGCTAGAGCACAGGAACCTGCAGGGACACACCTTTGGGCCCTTTGAGCAGGTTGACCTCCATGATAGTCTCAGGCGGAGGCTGGCGTCTCCGAACCACCAACCGCACCACAGGCCCTGCCTCCTTCAGCGCCTCCACGGCCCGGCTGTGTACCACCTCCGACACGTCCACCTCATTCACCCGAAGCACACAGTCATTCACTCTGTGGGGGAAGCCGGAGGGACATGACGCTGTGCCACCGCCCCATCCACCTCCCCTCCCAAATTCTCTCCCTCTTCTCTCCCTCCCTCTCTCCCAAATTCCTCCCTCTTCTCTCCCTCCCTCTCTCCATCTCAGATCTAATAGATGGATCACCCGGCTAGCCTGGCCCTCTTCCCCTCCTCTCTATCCTGCCTGGGCCACCCACAACCCCGCTCCAGGCCATCTTACCCCAGCCTCCCATCCATGGCAGCTGCTCCACCAGGGATGATCTTGGTAATAAAGATGCCGGGGTCATCGGGGACGTGGGGGTTGTCGATGCCACCTGCAATACTGAAGCCCAGGCCAGAGTTGCCCTGCAGAAGGGGGTAGAGGGCACAGTGTGTACACTCTGGGAACACAAAGCAGGGTTTTGGACACTCCATTTCCCTCTCTGTCCCAGAGCAGGTTCTCTGGGTCTCACGGTAGGCCGGGACACAGTCATCAAAAACCTGGCAGCGTCTCTGCCTGAGCTGACCATTCTGGCAGAGAGGCCTTCGCAAACCCATCCCCTCCTCAAGTCCCCAGGCCTCAGCCAGCAAGGTCAATTAATATTTGTTAGCGAGTTGATTGATTGATGCAGCACTGCAGCTTCCGAAGGCTGCTGTTTCCCCATGCTCTCAATGCAGGTTCCCTCAGGAGTCTTGAAATCACTGTTAGGGCCCTCCTTTCTCCTGGCTCCCACCCCTCCTCCCCTTTTGTCCCCACCCCACTGGCAGACTCACCCGTTCCAGTACTATCTCCTCATATTTGAACATGCCATCACTGCCATTCACCTAGGGGAAGACACAAGCACTTCCCTCAGTGCCTCCTCCCTGCCAGCTCGCTGCCCCGAGTCAGCCTGGCCCTCCCCCACTCCCACAGAGAGCCCGAGCACACCCCAGGGCGCCTCTAAACCACAGATGGGGACAGACTGACCCAAGGGGGCTACTCCCCTCCCCTTGCTTCCACCATAGCAAGTCAAACCCAGCTGCTCATTTAGCCCAGATCAATCATCTGGGCCTGAGCCAGCCAGTGGTGCACTCACCGAGAGGCTGGACTCCAGGGCCTCGGGGTTCACTAGGAGGGGTGCGGAGCTGGCCTAAGGGGGATGGCAGAGATGGAGCATGGCGGGCATGCCACACCACACCCAGCATCCTTGGGGCACCCAGAGGCTTAGTCAGAGAACCCTTCCCCTTCTGAACCACAGCTCTCCCTGACTTGGGGATCATAGCCTCCCACCACGTCAGAGCTGGAAGGACAGCAGACACCATCTTATCCAACCCTGCTCATACAACAGATGATGACAGTGAGGCCCACAGAAGGTATGGGACCTTCCTAAAGACATACTGGTGGTTAGTGGCACAGCTAACCGATCTCAAGATGCTCTTTCGATTAAGTCAAGTTGTCAAGACCCTGATGTTTTAGCTAGGTGTCCCATTCCCCCATCTGGACATGGGAGAAAGGAAAGTTGTCCTCTTCCGAGTACATCATGAGCCCTCAATCTACACCTCCTTCAGTGGCTCCAGAAGCCCGACTGTTCAAATGGACAGAAGGAGGCAAAAGCTGAATCTGTTTTCTCTCACAGGGACTTTTGATCCTGAACCCTTTGTGTGTCCCAGCGGAGAAGGCTAGGGTAGGATCTGATCAGGAGTCAGAAGCCAAGCCAGGGCCAGGGTAGGAGCAGGGTAAACAAGATTCCCAACGAGGGAGAAGCTGATAACACACGGACAGATTAGTAGCAGAGTCCATACTCTTCGACATGCAGTTGCCATGGGAAGAGAAGCAACAGAAGAGGCTGGAAACAGGGTTAGTAAAGCATAAGGGTTGGAAACACAGAGGTAGCCTCTCAGACAGGACAGGACTACGGTCGTTTTTCAAGTAGAAATCTGATTCTGGACAGACAAATAGCACCTGCTCCCTGCTTCCCAGTCTCACCTCCAAGAATGGAGGAGACCTCTTGCCTCTTTCCCCAGGTATCCTAGTACCACCCCTCATCTTTCTCTGGCCGTGCTGTCCCTTTCCTGATCCCTGGCCTTCGAAGAGGAGAGCTGGCAGCTCAGGGTGTGGGCTCCTCCACACGCCCAGCTCTGCTTCCCCCTCCCACCTCCATTCCACAAAGCTATGGCTTTAAGAAACGGAGAACTGAGGGAGAGAGGGCTGGCTAGTCATGCCTTCTCCATTTATGGGTTTGGCCCCTAGGACATCATCCCTCGGAGTTGGTGGGAGGACTCCAGCTGTAGCCTCACCCTGCTCCCTGATCCCAGAAGGAAGAGCCGATGGCTCGTCGGAGACCAAAACCAACACAGCCGCCTCAAGTACCATACAACAGGCACACAGGCAAAAGGACACCCATGCGACTCTTGTATGTATCAGGTGTGCCATATGTGCCCACCTGTGACAAGCCATGCCTCAAGCCCAGTTTAAATGGTACCTGGAGACTCCCAGCTCCCGGTGATCGATCCTCCAGCCCCCACCCCACCCCCACTCAGGGACTTTGCCCCCAGGACCAGGAGCCATGCAGGGATAAGCAAGCCCTGGCAAAGAAACCTTAGCTAACTGGCCCAGCCTTGAGATTGGCACCTGTCTCCCAGCTGGGCAGGACAAGTATGAGAGAGTGCTTGCAAAGGGAGGGCCAAAGGACAGAGGGGCAAAGGGGAGAAGGAGGCTCACTGGAGACGGCAAAGGGCCAAGGCAGGGAGCACAGGAAGCAGTAAGTATGGACAGACAGATGGCCAAACCTGAGGACTCCCCTCCTCAGAGGTCCCACCTTTGCTTCTCAGTGAGAACACATCCTATCCCCGGAGGAGGACAGAGGCAGCCAGAATGATTACCAGCTTGGGGCAGTCCACACCTGCCCTCCACAGTAAAGCCTCCTCCTCTCTCCCCACCCTGGGGGCTGCAGAGCCAAATACCAGACAGGCCCTCCACCACGCGTGCCAGGGACCTGGCTCTGCCTGCCCAGCCTCCATTTTGCTGCTTCTCCCACAGATGCTCCTTCCATTTTCTAAGCTGGCAGTTTAGGCTGAGAGTGGAAACCGGAGTTGTGCCCATCACCCAGGGGCTCCCGAGCTGTGCCAAGTCAGGGCTGAGGGGCTATGCTTTCCCACATCTGGAGGTACTCAAGACGGACATGCCCCACCGGGGCCAATGCCTGCACCAGGGCAGCTGTCCCTTGCCAAGCTCCAGGTACCATGCCTGCTCTGGAGGGAAGAAGCTTGCTTCACCACCCCTCGACCCCAGCACACATACTTCAGAGCTGCTTGGACAAAAGAGTCCATCCTTCTCAGCAGCCTCTCAGCCTTGCTTGGGACATGTCTCTCACCTCCTCCCTCTCCACTTCCTTTTCTGTCAAGCACCCCTCACCAGGGACACCACACACACACACACAGACACACAGACACACACACAGAGGTACACACATGCACACTCTTATGGCCACATGCTCACACATATACATGTAACCACACAGAGAGCAAAGCAAATATAGCTATCCCTGCAGTCTCGTCTGGAGACACCTCCACATTCAGAGAGACATCCCCACACACCCATGTGCACATTCACACACAAAGGGACTGGGACGGAGAGGGGCTCATGGCATGAAGGGAAGAAGCTCGGCAAGCTGGGCACATGGGTTCCTCTACATAGATTCATGGGAGCTCCATTGCCTTCCTCCACACATCCCAACACACACACACACACACACACACACACACACACACAGACACACACACTCCCCCTACGCAGAGCACCATGCCCCCTCCTCCCCTCCTGTGGAGACACACACCACACACAACCCCCGCAGAACCTTCCGCCCCCTGCCAGACAGAGACACTGCCACTACCCCCCACTGAGACAAACCCAATTCCCCTACACAGGAAAATGTGCCCCTCCACCAGACCTTCACCCCGACACACACGGCTCCTCCCAACCCCTTCCAAAGGGAGACCCCCCCCCCCAAGCAGACACACACAGAGAGCCCACCTCTCTTTGACCAACTGCAATGCTAGGGTTCGGGGCCCACAGCCTTGGAGCCCCCAGGAATCCGTGCTGCACCCCAGGCCCCTAGGCTCCCACTCCTCAACCCTCCTGGGTTGCCCCACCACCCCCTCCTGCTGGTCCATACCTGCTCATACCAGTCCCGGTTGGTACAGGTGCACTCAGGCCACCAGCTGGGGCCACTGCCGTTGAGTTTGGGGGTGCTCTTGCCTGGGACTGGCTTAGGGGGCACTGGCCCCACGTCCCGGCTGGTGGGGATGAGCTTGGCCTTGGTGCGAGGGGTGGGGGTGGCCCCTGCCTGCGAGGGCAGAGTCTGCGAGCTGTAGCCCCCATAACCGGAACTGGCTCCGTTGCCCCCACCTGGCCCGTAGGGGTCAGGCACCTGCCCCCAGTCGCCGTAGCCAGGAGGCTCGAGGCGCCGCAGGGCGGCCAGACGAGACACCTCATAGCACTCGGGGCACTTACAGCAGTGCTGGTGCTTGTGCATGGCACTGCCCCCCGCGGCTCGGACCCCCCAGCCCACGCCAGTTTCCACGCCGCCGCCGCCGCCGCC